CATGCATCATAATAAAAATATTTATCAATTACAAAATATTGTTGATGAAATGTAGAGAATTTTTCAACAAAAATGTTCATTTTTACTTTCAATATTGCTGTACTTAAAAATAGAAAATGTCTTAAAAACAGCACCGCTCTTTGAAAATCATTAAAAAATGAACACAGTGCTAATTATCCATAAATGTCCAGAATCAATCCTCGTGTTTTTTTTTTAATAAACCTGGTACGGTGGTTTTTTGCATACCAGCTAACAGTCTTCAGCAGAGACAAAGACATTTATTTTATCTTACCCCTTTACTTCTGGTTTAAGATGCAAGCTATTTTAGTTTTTTTTTTTTTTTTCTATAGATTCTCTTGGAAAAACTGTAATTTTAAAGTGTTATAAAGACACTTCCCAGACGGCTTCCTAGAAGAAAACAAAGTATGAAACTCAAACTCTTTTTGTCCATATTGAGCAAACCAACATAACACCCATCTACAGGGACAGTGTGTAACAAATTTGACTTTTTTTTAGCAAAACTCAAGTATTTTTTAAATAAATACATATTTATACAGTCCATCCTCTTCTATAATGCAAGAATTTTCAGTTGTTGTGGTCATGTGATCCTGGCTTTGCACAGACAACGATTGGACAGATGAATTAGTTCACCTTCTACTCCAATACTATTGTTACCTGTTGGGGTTACTCCAGGATATGGTTGAAATGTGTAGAATAGGTGGAGGTCTCACGATACAGAATTTTTTTTATTATAGTAAAATTTTATAAAATCTGTTTATAAATTTATAAAAAATGTTTTGTAACGCACATGGTTGACATGTTAGCAAGGTTTTGGATTGACTGTGTTCTCCAACTCCAGTCCTCCAGACCCACCTCAATCAAATTACAGGATCTTTATCAGGCCTCCGCAGAACTCAATGACATGCTGAGGAGGTAATTAAGCCCATTTATTTGGATGGTTTGGGTTAGAGTGAATCTAAATGTTGCAGGATATTAGCTCTGGAGGACTGCTGTTGGAGAACAGGGGTCTAGTAAAAGAAAAGATCTATGACATTTGTTTTGACCCTGGTATACTACTGTAGGTTTGACCCTTCATTGACTTTTAAAAAACAAAATTTAGATAAGGAAGTAATAAGCTTCTAAGGTGCCAGCTCAGACCGAATAGAGACATTAAACATTAAAGAGTACTCCACTACCTTTAAATTTTATGTTTGTACTGCATCACTGAAACTTTCTTGGTTTGAGACAAGCAATAAAATTGCAATGCTGCATAAAACTAATCACACTCTGATAAAACGTGTTTAAACCATATAATAAAACATTTATTTATTTTAAGAAAAAACATTTTAAAAAGGCAGTTTTACTAAAATAAAAAAGATTGCTAAAATCCTACAAGCTATTCTTAGCTCAAGAGCTGAACTTATGGCATCTCTAGTTTGAAGGTCTTTGGTATTGATTTTATACTTTTCGATAAATAATAATACATTTTTCTGCCTGTGTAATTTTTTTAAGATAAAAAATGTTATTATTTTTGGGCTCACCCAACAAAAGCCAAGGTCAATGTATAGCTGCAGGCTGTGTTTGTCTTTAAGCAAAGATTCCACAGCAGCATGTTAATAATACTAAATATAAGGAAAGCATGATTGTTCTGTATGCCGTTTTCCCACTATGTTGTGTTGAGAAAACATGCAGTGCAATACTTTAAAACAGGAAATCAGCCATCAGTTACTCTGTCATTTACACCATGGTTTTGCTGCTGTCACATATAAAAATGCCTGCTGCATGGATGCCGTTTCCACAGCCAGCAGATGTTAAAGTCAATGAACGCAGCACACTTAACTCAACATGTGTCACCAGCTAAAGCTGAGGAGAAGATATCAGATCTACTTTTCCTTGTAAGCTTGTTTTACCACTTCCCTCTATGGCTAAGGTTCATTGGATAAAACACTTTCACAGATTGCTCCTTTTCAACTGTAAAAAATAATAGTTTTAGAAAATAATACCTGATAAAATATTTTATAGAAAAAAATGAAATATGAACAAAATTGAAAAAAATAAAAGTTGAAAGTATAAAACATAAAAACAACTGACTAAAAAAAACATGAAAGATTAATTCTTACAGAAGCCTTGAATGATCTCCCGTTCCAGCTGCCAGCCTGGCACTAAATAACTAGGCTAGTTTTTAATATTCTAACGGCTTTTGTCTAAAAAAGGGACACACTGATGATGATAAACTGCATCATTTTGACAGTAATTCCATCAAATTCTGGCATTTAAGCTTCTGTGTCAGATCTGCTCTATTTTTGTGTATGTTTAACAAGATCAGGAAGCCATATGCTGTTCTCTAAGCACCGACTGCAGAGATTTAATTGCATAACAGCAACAGTAAAAAAACGAAATAAAATTCCTGCAGTGCTAATTTGCTCTTGATGCTCTCCTAAATGGTTCATTTAAGTTGTTTTTTTTTTTTCACAGCTCAGGATAAAAATCCCCTACGTTTAACCATGACTCACACGAACCATAAAGGCTGGATGATTGTGAATAACTTCTTAAAAGACAGCATGCTGTCATATTTTTTCCCACCCACCTCCTGACTGTTCTCATGTGGTTAAACTGAAAAGAACCTCAGAGAACAACCCATTTTAAAAGGATCCACTGGGTTTCTACTACCTTAATATTTTCAGATTTTTTATTTTTTTTGTCCTGAAATGAGGTAAAGGAAATGGAGCCTAGGCGGAAGTTCAACTGATGAAACTAACTGCTCTCCTACATCCACCTGCGCCACAGCCAATCAGCTTTGAACCAAGCCTCCAAGAAAGCCAATCGGCATCCAAAGTTCATCTTAAAAGGCCTCCGATTCACTTGTGTGCTCCTGTGTGCAGGCTGTGGATGCACTGTGACATCATTTAGATGACACAGTTTCAACCCACCTCCAGCCCCTCCTCCACCATTGCAGCTAAAGTTTCAGGAGAGTGTCGTCCTCCCAGACTCTAACTGCGTTCCCTGTCTCATCTCAACCGGTCCGGCAGAAGACCGCCATGTTGAGCCTGGTTCTGCCAGAGGTTTCTTCCCAAAGGGGAGTTTTTCCTCTCCACTGTCGCTTCGTGCTTGCTCATCATGGACTCCCCTCTTCCACGTCCCTGAGTGAAGCTCTAGTATCAGCTCATGCAGTCCAATGGATCTCCCCATAAAGCTCAGAAGACCGACTCACTAACCAGCAGTCTACAGACTGACCAACTTCATCTATCTCCACACCACCATCAGTTTCAGGCCTAAGGTGGAAACAGCCCTGTTCTTTGCTCCTGTTCATGCATATCTAGCGAAATTAAGTGCTATGTTTCCTGCCGAGGTCTGAGCGCCAAAGACCAAGTAATTATATAAATAAATTTCTCCTAATTGTCTTTTCTCTTCGTGTGAGTTTTTCAGATTGAAATAAAAACAAAAAACAAAGGAAAGATAGAACCAATATGGGGTTGATGGTCTAACTTGGGCAATCGGAGTGAACGAGTTTTGAATCTTTGAAGCCATTCCAGGAGGCAATGTCTTGGCTCTCTAAACACAAACCATCAACCCAATGATCTTTTTAAAACAGACTAGAAATTATGAAATCATAGCTAGCGTTGCTCTCTGCAGACTAAACCAACAGTAGAGATGCAGGATGTGAGTACTGGATTAGTATTTGGGCTTTTATATCAGTGTCAGTGTTCTCTATAACTCCAATAAATAGGATAATTATCATTAAACATAATAGAAAACATTTTACCCTACCACTGTGGACTGTTTTCTCTGCTTTTTTTAAATTTTTGACTTAATTTTTTTCTTCTAGATTTGATATATATTATTTTTTCTTCAAACTTAAATTTTTCAGATTGAGATTTATAAATCACATTCTTCTCTAATTATATTACAGATCAAATTCAAATTACTTCCGGGGGAAGGTTTTCCCTCTGGAGTAGGGTGGCCAACCATCCCTTGAAAAATGGAATTGTTCTGTTTTTAGAAATAGATGTACCTGTCCCGTATTTAGTGGAAAAGGAACTCGATTACTGTGAGAGTCAAAAATAGTAAAAAGCTAATGGAAAATGAAGAACAAGGGCACGTTAGATACAAAACCTACGGTAAACTTGTTCCCGGGCCCTGTCCTACATTGTGACCAATGAGCTGACAACATTTTTTTATAGACTTAGACAGATTTACTTGTCATTTTGTTTACACAAGTGTAAAACTAAAATAAATTTCATTTAGAACAGCTCTCTGGACAATTTCATCTTATTCTATAAGTGCAGCCTTTAAAATAGCAAAATAATATATAAATTAAGCATAATAATAATAATAATAAAACATCGCTATGCTCCTTTGCATAGCAATGCTCCTCCTCCGAAAAAAAAAGGATGAAGAAATATAGAGAGGAATAGGAAAAAACAAATACCTGGGTGGAAGAAGTCAGGTATAATGAATTTGAAGCAGACTGCAAATATGCATCTAATTCAATGTAGATTTCAGTCAATTAGTTAAGAAAATCATTTCACACACAAAGGGGGGCTAAAAAAAAAATCACCATGCCTGGAGGGGTAAAGGCAATTGGGTCAGCTGGCATGCACATGAGGGGTCCATTTCTTTCCAGGGAGTTGGCAACCCTACTCTGAAGTGAGGAGGAGATGCATTTCTATTGGTCTGCTGGGCGTTAGCAACTATTTTATTGGAATGAGCATTTGTACTAGAATCAAAGTGAAGAGAATATGATTTGTAAAACTCAATCTGGAAAACTGAAATAAAAAAAAAAAAGAAAATCTGTCCAAAAAAAATATGATGAATGGATTTCAAAATAATTTTCAAATACTAAAGTTCAGAGATCAGCAAACATCGTTTTGATTAAAACTTTTCAAACTTTTTTCAAAAGTTTCATTGCTGGTCAAATTTTTTATTTTAAATTTTTAAATTAGACATTAAAACTTTGTTGTTTTCATGTGACCCAAATTCACCCCATTTCTCCTTCTCACCGTTGTTGCTCCTCTTGTGCAGCTCCTCCTTGCCGTTCTTGCTGCTGTTGCCTGTCATGGTCCTTCGGGCCGAGGAGCTCTTGCTGGTGTTCAGCTTCCCTGAGCTGTTGCTCGACACCGAGCCGTCCTCGCTTGGCAACCGTCTGCAGTGGCCATAGCAACAGAGAGACGAGGGAGGAGAGGAGAGGAGGGGGGAGTGTGAGTGTTTACACAGAACAGGCATCATTTCACAGTTATTACTGGCAGCAGACTATCAACTTTAATTACAAATGAGAAAACAATGTTAGTGGGTAATTAGCTACAAGAATAATTCAAAAGAGCTTCAGAGAGAAACTCGTTCAAAAAGTGGAGAAAGCAGGTAAAATGATGCAGGTGGAAACTTTTTCGTAGATTTTTTTTATACTCAAAAGAAAAATCTTTAAACCCAACAGATCTGAATATGTTTCTTCAATATGAAAGGACTTCTATGTTTACATTTACTGCGATGCTCCTCAGAAACGTTCATAAACCTGAGAATAACAACACTGAGCCCACAAAATCGAATTCATACTATCTGGATTAAACAATGTCATTTATCATTTTGTGGGTGGAAATAGAAGGAAAATTATACAGTTTTGAAATATCATTTTACAAATAAAAATCTTAAAAGTAAAATATTAAAGGTATAGTGGAGGATGTTCTTTTTCTGGATCGATTCTGGAACGATGCATACAGCAACTTTTAAACAGAGCGTGCACGAGGAGAAATGGGCTCATGCACGCTCTCACACACGTTTAATTGGCGTTCCCTCTCAGGAGCGGGTACAGGGTTGTGCATGTGCATATTGTTTTTAAAGTGGAGAGGGCAGGTCTTTTCAAAAATTTGCAAAAATCCTACATTATACTTTTAACAAAATTTGGTGTCCATGAGTGAGAGTAAGAGCGTTGATTAAAAAGTCTAGTCAAGTACTGAGTTACTCAGGATAACATAATAAAAAAATTAAAATCATTCAATAAAGAATGACCTAAATTCAATTTCTTTAAAGACTATAAAAATATAAAAAAAATAAACAAAAAATGAAATTAAGAAGGAACAAGTCCAGGCAAAAGAAAAAATATCCAAACATATTTTCTTATTAACGTGCACTTATGAAACCGGAAGCACCAGTACAGTATTTACTCCTTCAATTCAAGTCAGCTTGCATTACTTGAATATTCAGAAATTTTCTGCACCTCGGAAAAATCGGAAAAAAGCTCCGTAGGAAAAAACATGGTGGAAAAACAGCTCCTACTGGTGGGGGATCTCAAAAATACATCTTAAAACAGCTTATTAACCCCACAAACACCACCAAGAGCTGGCTATAATATTAGGTACAAGAAGAAAAGCTGTGCTTCAGATAAAAGCAGCAGATGTTTCATCCACTCGTCTTATTTGCACCATTACTCAACAGTCAGCCAATGGTTCATGGTAAAGTAAAAAAAGCTGCTCTAGCCATGACATCTGGACCCATAAAACTCACTCATTGTTACAGTTACACCATTTTTCCTGCTTCTAAAAAAAACTACAGTTACGTCTGAAAATATTACAGCCATCAATTAAGGGTCAAGAAGATCAGATCTGATGAATCCCTTATTTCATTTTAATCTATCAACACCACAACGGCCATAGAAACTTGGCATCATTTAACGGTAACATCCTCCTAAATATCAGTGCTAGACAATATCCATCAATTTATGACCAGAGTTCAACCTCCAACAGGATAATGTACCCTGTGGGAAAACTCAGATCAAACTGGTTTAGGGGAGTTTTGGCCTAGTGGTTAGAGAAGTGCGCTTGTTCTCTGAGAAGATGGCAAATACCAAGTTCGATCACCAAGGTCTGCCTTCTGGGTCACAGAGCAACAACCTTAACCCCATACTGCTCCCCGAGCGCCGCACAGTGGCAGCCCACTGCTCCCCGAGGCAATGGGTTAAGATGCAGGAGTGAATTTATCCAATGTTATATCAATGAAGTTCAATTATTAATATGTTTCTTAAAGATGAAAATGCACATCCCGCACATATCAAACAACTTCTACGCTATTTGATGTCAATGCAACGAAGCACCAGTTTTGGATGTGGTCAAACATCATAGACAAACAGCTCGCTGAATGTATGTTTCCAAAAATCAAGGCAGTTTTCACTGCGATACAAGGCACATACTGTAGATACTAGCAAGGCATCCCTCAAAAAGCAAACAACATAGTTTTTTTATGTTTCTTCTGATGTACTGGTTGTCTCAGACACACTCACGTACACACATAGCGGACAAACACATGAACACCCAGTGCTTTGTAAGCTAGAGTAGCTAAACAACATGACAGGCTTGTCTACAGGTGGTGTGAAAATCATGGATCACTGAGAACAGAAACGGAAAAACCACAGGCGAGGCAAATGTGTGGCTTACAGGTATGCACGCTCACACAACGACAACAAACACACTGCGGCCAGACCGTTAGCCTGTGATTGGCTGCTCTATGGTAAAAGTCATGTGGTATTCAGCAAAAGAGCCGCAGGGATGGAAAGCAACATGCAACGTGAGTTCCATGTAAATCTGTTTGTGAAGGGAGCAGCAGAATCGGTAATCACCCTGCTGGAATATCTGTCTCAAGTCTTTCCTGTGTGCCTCACAGACTGCAGCTCTCCAGAGGAGCCACTGAGCAGAATAAACGCACGTTGACTGAACCTGTCCATATATGCTGCACCATGGTTAACGTTTAGTCTGTCTCTGATTCCCTCCTCAACGAATCAACAGGTAAAACATGGCCACTGAAAAAAAGAGTTCCTAAAATAGGGGTCATTGCTTTGTCAATCGAAAGAATAGGTGCTAATTGCATTAACATTAAAATCAGGAAGATTGATCATTTGCCTCTCAAATGAGAAGTAATTAAACTTACAGACTTGTGCATTAGGCAATGTTATTAGGTCAGAGCAGCTAAGGACTCCAGTGGTTCCCACCCCTGTTCCTCAGGGACCCCTGCCCTGCATGTCTTAGGTGTTTCCTTGTTGCATCACACCAGAAAAGAATGGATGATTAACAGGCTTCTGCAGCACCTGATGGCTGAGCAGGAGCCCTAATTCGAATCAGGTATGCTGGAATAGAACAAACCTAAAAACATGCAGAAGCAGGGCGGTGTCCCTGAGGACCAGGGTGGGAACCACTGAGCTAAGCACTGCTAAGGCTTATTGGCTTATAGTAATTTGAATGTTTATCATTCTTCTGACAAATAAACACCAATTAAAAAGACTCTCCAAACTCTACAAAAATCGTCCCCCAAATGAAAATTAACCTATTTAAAGGGAATTAAAATGAGAGTAGCAGAAGGGCTGCACCAGCTAAAAGGATGAGCTGCAATTAAAGAAGATCCCTCCCAGTCATGAAACAATCTCTTGGAGTCATACCCTAAAACCAACAGGAAGTCAGCCAATATGTGGCAAATAGATTTTTATAGATATTGAACCTTAAGAAAGTTCTCCTTAAATTTTTGATTGACTAAGAACTTGCTAAGTAGTAAAGGCATGTGAGATAAAGCATTATGGTGGAGGAACGTGGCCAGGCCTCGAATGCCGCGTACTTGCATAGGAGTTTAAAATGGTTAAACTTTTAAACAGAAAAGCCAAATAAGACTAAACTTGGTAGTATTGATCCCCTCCTGGTGCCTGATGTGGAGTAAAAAATGTTGAGGTATGTCTGTTCTTAGCCTCACTGCCTCCAAACGAAGGTCATGACATAAAATCATAAAATTGTGAGAATAAAGTCGTACAGTTATGAGATGAAAGTCGTAATATTACCAGAAAAAAAGTCACAACGAGAATAGTCATAAAATTACTTGAATAAAGTCGTAATATTATGAGAAACAAGTTGTATTTTATGACAACTCCTACAAGAAGCACTTTCTTCCCTAAAATGAGGAATGTGGAACGTTACGTGAAGTTATACTTTGGCTCTGGTTTGACAAATAACGAAATCTTTTAGCACACAAACATCAAATTGGGCAGTATGTCTTAGTAGACTCTGTTTGGTGGTGCAGGTTGGCCGTCATATTCTGTTACGATTTTATTCTCGTAATATTACAACTTTATTCTCGTAATGTTGTGATTTTATTCTCAAATAAATAAATAAAAATCTGTAGCCTGGCCCCAGTACTCTGTCATACAAGTTGTCAGTTTTAGTCTGACGATAAAGTTTTTTTTTTTTTGCTTTCAGTTGTTCAGAGAGGAAGGAGACCACATCAAAACCAGTTCTGAAATAAACAAAAATTGCTTGTTTGTTGCCCCTTATGGATGTAGACTTCTAACCAACAGATATTATTATAATTGGGGGCATTTGTTATAAAATGCATCAACATGCATTTACTTAGCAGTTATGTAGTTTTCAAGTGATCTATAGATTCTAATCTAACTTGTATACATCTTATCCATGTTATGCATCTCATGTTTTTCTTTTTTTAATAAAAACAGTTTGACTCTCAGCCTCAGGTGATGGTAAAGTCCAACTTTAAACCCATATCTTTGTGTTTTCGTTCTTCCCATTTAAACCACCACAACATTGTGTATCCAGCTAATGTGTAGTCAGGTAGAGAAACAACAATTCCTCCTTATTTAATCCTCATTTCCCTATGAGGTTTGCGTTCCAGGTCGGGAAAGCTGATTATCACACTTCACTGGCGCCTGTGGCAATGTAGCATTTCATCATTGTTATACAGAAAGGCTCCCTCTAGCTCGCATACAGCTGGGGTTATAAATATACATGTATTTATCATCCTTGAGAAGCAAAGCACAACTAATCCCACCCCCATTCATTTTCTGTTGAGCAGTGAGTAAATAAGAAGCTGTATCTTTACCTCATTCTTGGATTTTAATTTATGTAAAATTATGAGCGGAGACTTGATCATCTCATGTATGAAGGAACGATGTCATTACTCATGTGGGTGGATTCATGTGAGTGGTAGTATTTTAAAGTTTACAACAAACTGCTTACTAATTTTGTTTGAATGGATTTGATGATCTAGCTCAGAAAGCAAACAGGACAGATTCAAGAGAAAAACAACAACTAACAGATGACTTCTATTTGTTTATGTTGTGTTTCTTTGCAGCTACTTGGGCCTAATCCTTTAAATTGTCCT